TAGCACCCACCTCTCGTCTCAAACATGTGATTCCAGGATGCCTATCGAGATGGGGCCCGAAACTCGGATGTGATCAAATCCCGTTGTCATGCATCCCACATTTGTTTTGTAATATACGTGGGTTTGTGGGTCTTTTGCTTAAGCTTGTTCAAGCATGAGTAACGTCTTCGTGCCGGACTGTACCATGCATCCTTAATTAGCACATCAATGGCCTCATCACATAAAAAGTACTTCTATATGAAAAAAAATTGATATTAGTACATTTAATGTTAAATTAATACATTAAAATGTAATATAAATAAATAATTAATATGTTATTTTAAACTCATTAAAGTAAAAGTCTTTTGTCTCAATGGAGACAAACTTCTACGTGAAGTCAGTAGTGTCCAATCATTTCTTGAAAATCACAGTGAATCAACTAGAATACTTACTTGATGGAACCAAACTATCGAACAAAATAAATAAATAATAAATAAATTAATTAATTATTCAACTAATATATAAAAATATAAAACTAATTATCACATGTAAATCATGTTACTTATCGACTTGGTAACAAGCCAAATGGTCCGCCCAATATCGGATCCGAAGAGCTTCCTAAAGCACAAGAAACTAATAAGGGGACCTCCGTAATCGGGGGCATTATCGATGAGGATGCGGACGTGTCTACCACATTATCAAGATAAATGTCATAGCCACGCACAATGCCACTATCAAGTCCACGACCATGTATGGTGTCATTATCGGTGGCACGACAATAGATACTACCACTATCGGTGTCATGGCCACACACATTGCCACTATCAATGTCATTGCCATGGACACTGTCATTATTAGAGTCATTACCAACAGATCCGCCCGAATGGGATGCCGAGGTGGAAAAGTCTAATCCATAAGTCATATCTCTAAAATGACACCTAAAACAATTTAACAAATACAATAAATAAAATAATTGACTAAAAATATATTATAAATTATTTTTTATAAAAAGCAAACAAAAATTCGACATAATCTCTTATAAATTGGATATTCCTTAATTACTAGAGATGTCACTCGCACAAAATACAATGCATCCAAAATACACAATAAATATCTGAAAAATAAGTAATAGACAAAATGATATAATTTAATAAATACAATAAATAAAATTGATTTTTAATTACAACTAAATAGTAAAAATTCACACAATTAATAAATAAATCCATCATAAATTAAGATGAATAAATAATTGAAATTTTTTATGTTGATCATAGAAAAATTAAATATTAAAATCATATTACCATGTTTCACAATTTAAAAATGACCAAACCATCAAAATAATTTTATTAGATTTTTTAAGTGACCGTCTCGAGACATAATCAGATTGCTTTCTTGAGATGATGCGCTTCGTCTACAGAATTTAAATATATATTGCATGTCGTTTTAGAGATACAACAAGTTCAATCATCTTGTTACAAATTTGTACTATTTATAAGACTTGAAATTCAACATAAATAAACAATACCATTCTTACCCAAAATATGTAATATATAAAAAAACGAAGAACAATTAAAACAATATTTTTTTAGTGGAAAAACTAGAGAGGACAAAAGTAAAAAGAAATATGTATATTATTTGATTAAGGAATGCAAAAATATTGTGTGTGCAAAATGACAAAAAAAAACACACACACACACATATATATATCTGTAAATGTAGAGAACCGTTTGTATTACTCCGTTAAAGAAACTTTAATGCTAACAATGCTCGTCAAGAAGGGATTAAAAGACAAAAAATCATTGGTTTTTTGTTGAATCTATGATACAACAATAACATTAAATGGGACATTTGAGACTGTTTTTGAACAGGTTCATAAACTATTATAGTTACTGTTTTATTTTTTTCAACATATGCCATGCATTCAATATTTTATTGAATAATTTTTTTTAAAAAAAATAATAGGTATATTATTCAATATTCAAACAAAAAATATTCTAACATGACATAAAATTGATATATCATTCCTGGAGTGGATTACTATTCTTAAGAATAAATTAAGTTCGAGGGGGAATATTTTTTTTCGTAAAGTAAGTCGTTAAAGAGCGCTTATTGTTCATAATACAAGAATCGATCATATACAAGTATATAATCCTTATGGATATATTATATATAGGTAAAAATTAATGTTAGAAACCCACTTCTTAAAATTACATTATATTAAAACATATTGGTAGAGGATAAAAATACAATAATATATTTAAGAGAGAAGTGAAAATAGAAAAAAGATTTAATATTGTTGAGCTCATTTTCATTGGAGATTATCCACCGCAAATGTTTAAGATATGTAATCATTTATAATATATCTCTCTTGATGTCTTAATGAAAGCATATTTTTTAGAAAAGAGAAAAAAGAAATTAAAGAGATTAATACTCTTTTCTTTTCTTTTTTTATATCTTCACGAGTGTGTGTCTGTATATATATAGTTAAAGTTTTGATTTTAGCCGTTGGCCATAATAATATGCTATAAAGACCATTATTGGTAGGTTTCAGGTGATAAATAGGCCACAAAGATTATATAGATAGGTTATAAAGAGTATTAAAATAGTGTAAATACGCAACATATTATAGTATGAAATAAATGCTAGGTAATAAATAATATTTTTATTCTTATCAAAACGTCTCTTGCCGAAAAAAAAAGAAAAAAAATTGAAATTTAAGTTTGAAATTGAATCATATTTAATAAAAGCCCAACAAGGCATGCGTTATAAATACAATTCCTACTCTATTTTTTTACAATGATTAGCAACGTAAAAGCTCGAATTTAGGCCTACAATTGCTTCGAGAAGAAGGCTCTATTTCAAGTTTGAGACGCGTCCTTGCTACCTTGTGATCTGAAAAGAATTCGAGACGCTCAAGTTACTTGGCAGATCAAAATCAGTTCAACTGCATGCAAAACTCAGCCGATACCTTGCACTTGTAAGTTCTTAGATTCTCTGGTTGCCAAGAAAGCATTCTTGACATGTATTGATCGATAATGCTTTTCATAAGGCTTTATTTAGTCCTTCCATCCATTATGAAATGAAATAATTTTGGAGGATCAATGTTGACTTTGATCAATGTTCATGATTGCCCTGCAATGAAGCCCACATAAAGCTATATATTTATATACACCAATTTGTGAGTGTGACACAGAAAATAATAGAGATGGAGAATATGGAATCTTCTATATTGCAAAGTAAATATTTTTAATTTTTGAGCCTGCACTGTTGCGATTATGAGTCCAACCCTTTTATCATTGCACCGTTACTTAATCTCTCTCTAGCTATCTCAGTCTACTCGTGGGTTAGACTTTCATGGTGTCATCAATGAATGTATGTTATTAGACCAGTGCTGAATTGTCCCCCGCAAATTCAGCAAAGAAAACCGAGTAACTTTTCGACGACTCGTGATTAAATGTTGTATTTTGTTAAAGAACACTTTCTCCTTTGAAATACAATAACTTATCATATGCAAGTCTATACTACTTGTTCTACGCTTGTTTCAGTACTCAACTCATGCAACTATAAGTTTCAACAATGGAAAAGGGTAAGGAGCATTTACCCTGCAACTACAGTTACATTACAGGTAATAATCACCTTCTATGCTGTCTTCGATTTACTAATGTTTAAGACATGAAAGAGCTGTTTGTTTCTTCCCTAGAATGTGGTCGGAAGGGTCAAGAGAGAGATGATTTTTTTCACCGACATGAGGACACTCCCATCATGCATTTGGATGCTCGTATGGAGGACAACAGATATCCACAAATCTGGTTTGGCATTAGATAAAAATTATAGACATTCCTGTATTATTCACATATCCATTTGATGAAAATTTTAGATATTCATACACTATCCATTGGATTTTGAATATTTAGTATCTGAATTTCAGATATTCAAAAAAAATTAAAGCATGTTTGTTTTTTTAAACAAGAATATAAACAAATGATACCAAACTATGTTTACCCTTTTTTTGATGAAAAAATTACGTTAACTTGGTATTAGATTGATTTAATTAAAAAAAAATGTAAGATTTATAGTTTGAATTTGTGTATTTTTGTCATATTTTTTATATGCTAAAAGTTTATAAATTTGAGAAATATAAAATGATTGAGGAATGCATGTTTAATTAAGACTTCTTTTAAAGCATTTAGGAAGTGAATTGAAATACCAAAAATACCGCATTTTTTGATATATTAGTTTAATAGATGAAAGGAAAGAATTGAAATTTTGATAAAAGTTCCCTAGGCATTGATACAAACAAAATCTCATAGAAAAAATTGAAAAACCTCTCAAACTTCAGGAGGTCAACTTAAAACAGACCAAAATACTATATATGTGTGCATAATGTTAATGTTGAGGTATATATCAAAATATTATAACCTGGTATCTATCAAATTCGGATTAAATTTCCAACCCATGAAACATTTTCATGCAGATTGATGTCCGAAGTAGGATAGGAACTAAACAACCAAATTCCAAATATTTCCTTCTATCCACACCAGAATTCTTGACTTTGGAAATAGTTAGGTAACAACCAAATATCAAGAGCACAAGTCAAAAATGGATTAATTCTTGCTTAGATTACAATATTCAACTATAAAGATTACGTCAAATTGAATTGCAGAAGTCTGAAGCATTCAATTGGCCAATAACATAATAGTTTTGAGTGTGCATTAAGGCAAATGGTACAGAAATATTGACACATCCAGATAAAAGAGAATATACATCGCAAAACACTTCAGTGAAATGGTACATATAAGTTTCACAACCACGTCCCTTCCATTTGCCCTCACATCTGTTTGTTTCCCCAGAATGATTTGACAAAAATATAAAACACCAAATGCAAACCATGTGCTACTCTCAACCAGCCAAAAGAACCAAAACCAAAAAGGAAGACAAAAGGCTCGCCCAAATTACATAAAAATTAATTCAATCTCCACATCCAACTATCTGAAACGGAAACGTTAAATACAAAGAGATACTCAATCTGAGAAGGGGTTGATCTTGAACCTGTAAAGAAGTTTCTTCTTCTTTGAGGTGGGGTTGTTGATTGTGAGCAATATTTTTCCCAGTTCACCAACTTTGAAGCTGTTACACACCACCGGCTCATCGGTTGGGGACATTTTTGTGGGTTTTGTTATTATAATTGTGTATGCATCTTTAGCATCGGGCACGAATTCCGCGCTATAAGTCACCTCCCATCCCACAACTCGCAACTCCCAAACAAGGATACATTTCTGCAATGTACAAAATGCATATTACCAAAACAAAACAAAACTTGCATTCATAGCCAAGAATCAGCAATAGCAGAAACGTCCATGATCAAAGCCAGTTAATAAGAGCTGAGCATCGCAAAGTAGCATGGGTCAACGGCAAGTATAACACAAAGGGAAAATTGAATTTGTACCTCATAAATTATAATTTCCACAGTTTGCTTGGTTGCTGGTTTTACAGTCATCTCGGTAGCAGGATCAGCAATAGTGAATTCGGGGTTGCAGTCACAGTAATCCACACTCAAGCCACCATACTGAATAGGGACTTGCTCGGGAGCTATATATCTGTTTCACCAGATTTAACTTTAAGAGTCTAAATCATCCAAGACATGGAAGCAAAAAATTATAAAGAGAACCATCAAAAGAACCCCAGTTTGGCAAAATTAAATGATCAATAGAGACTTCACTAACTTGAAAAGTGTCTCAGCAGATCTTGATGGGCCTGCAAATACAAATTTGCTTTTGGTCCTTTGTGTCATGAATGGACTCATCATTGTATAAAATGCCAGATACCACCAAGGGACATTGATAAACACCTAATAAACAAAACCCAAAACCACAGCTCGAAGCACATAAAAAACAAACCACTCGATCAAAATCCAATCAAGAAAGCAAGGAGTAATGAACATCTACCTGTTTGGCAACAAACTCAGGGTAATTGTCCTGAAGCGAAAGGAGAGCCTGTCTAGTAGCCAACCTAAGCTCTCTCTTTCCAGGTCCCGGAGAGTTCTTGAGATCATTAACCTGAAAGATAGTAGAAATACCACTAGGACTAAAATCAAGCTTCCTGATACTCTTCTCCAAAAACTGAATCCGCCACCTCAAAAACTTCGATCTTTTCTCTTCATCAGAGAATGTCTTCTGATACAAATCTTTATTTTGAAACTCACCATACACATTGTAACACACAGGATGCCCTTCTCTATCATAACCATGCATAAAAACAACTTTCTCCAAATCATCACCTAGATCTTCATCAAGAAGCTGATCAATTTTGAAGTCCCTCCTCCATTGAATTGTGTTCTTGATCATTACAAATGCATCTCTCACCTTAAAATCCCTTGCCCTCAAGAACTTCAAGAGAACCACATCACTTCTATCATCTTTCAAAAGAGGAATCCCCCATATAGTGACTTCCCCTGGTGAAGATGCAACCTTTTGCTCTTCTTTGGTCACTTCTAGTGATTCTTCAGCTTTAGATTCTAGAGTCTCTGCTGGTGGTTTAATCTCAGTGCTAACATCAGAGTCTGAAAGGGGTGCTTCAGTTTTGGGAGTTTCTTGAATAACACTGACACTTTGTTTTTCTTCTTTTTTTGATGGAGTACTGCTAAACTGGTGAGTGTTGAGAGCTTCTTGAACTAACTGTTTCAGCTCTTCCAAAGCTTTTCTCTCAATATCAGAGAGATCAGCCACTACGTTACTCTCTTCCTTGAAAGAAACTAAAGTTTGAGGGATCTTCTGCTCCTTCACTTGCTTCTCTTTCCCGCTGTCAGCAACAACAATAACCTCTTCTTTAGTAGCAACTGATTTTTCAGTTACCTCGGTTTTCTCCTCGGGCGGCGGTGGTGAAAATGACTCTTCTTTCTCCATCATCGACGCCAATGATGATGATCTAGAATCCTTTTGTTCCGGCGGTGATGGTTGTGTTGGTAACTCTTCCTTCTCTTTTACTGGCGGTGATTCAGCTTCTTCAACTGGTTCTGGCGCTGTTGCAGGTGCTTGTGGCGGTGGGGGTGGCAAGTCTTCTTTATCTTTCTCTATGGATGGAGAAGGTGGAGCTTGCTCAACTGATGGTTGCGGCGGCGGCGGCGGCGCTACCGTTGGTGGTGGGGTAGATTCTTCGGCCATTTCTTGCTGTGGTTTCTGGCTCTTCTTTTTTTGGAGAGAGAGTGAAGTGATAAAGGAAAGAGGTAAGGCGAGAAGACAGGCAGTAGACACAAGTGTGTTTATATGCTTAGGAAAGAAATAGGTCATGCGGACTGACTTGCAGTTTTTATGTTTTTTTGGACTGACATGCTGTTTTTATTATTATTTTATTTTATTATTTTTTCCCAATTTTTCAGACACGTTGAAAAAGATAGAGCAGACTAATAAGTTGGAGAAATATCGGGAATCCGATGCTAATTTAATAAAGTCTCATAAGATATACTCACATTCTTTCTTTTTCACGTCAAAAAAAAAAAACCTTTTTTTTTTTGGACTGTTCTCAACATTTACACAACTAAGATATTCAAATTTAATTTATTCGTTTGTTTGTTATTTTATTTTTTATATTTAGAAGATAATTGAGATATTTTTAAATCTATTTTTATGTCAATCAAAATTAAATTTATCTTTTAAAAATTAAATTAGTATCATGCATACTTAGTTTTTTTATCGATTTTAAAAATCAAATTATTTGAACACACTGTCAACCCATACTCAGAGTCACACATATAATTTTTTTTTCCATAAAAGTTTGTTATTCGGTGTTTTTTTTCCCTTTTGATGATAAGAATACTCGGTCAATCAAAATCAAATTTTTTTATTAAACAATTTTAAGAATGTATTGTATCTAGAGTAATTTAAATATAGCATAACAAAAATAAATGCAAGCATTTCAAATAATAAATTTATTAAAAAAATTTAAATACATCAAGTTAACGTGAGATTGAGCTTTTAAAAATATTGTTTGATAAAAAAATTTAATTTTATTAACGTGTAAATTAACTTGAGGATATCACTTGATCAAAATAAATAAATAAATAAATGTAAGCGTCTATCAAAACTAAGATTGATTTGGTGCATCCATAAATATAATTGTAGTTGTGAAACTATGTATTTATAGAAACTTAATAGGTTTACCTATTATTTTTGTTTGGGTTTGTTAGGGGAAGAAGCGCATGGTGAAGGGGCTCCAAGTGGAGTGAATTATAAATTTGTTCATGTTGTTTTGAGAAACGAATTAATTAATCTATTTTATTTTAAAAATTAATTATTTAATTTTGTATGTTATTTTTTAATTTATTTTAATTTTTTTAAAGAAATAGAAAGAGAACAAAAACAAGTAAAAATATGAAAAGATTGATAAGAAAAAAGTCATTTTATAAAATAAAAAATATTAAATTAATTATAATCAATACTAGTTAAAAATAAATAAATAAATAGTTTTTGAAATAAGAATAACTAATTAATTCATTTCTCAAAACAAAAGAGACTAATTTATAATTTACTCGTACTAAGTGTGATTCCATGTTTGTATTTGTTTGAGATTCGAAGTATTTATTAATACATTGGGTTTATTTATATTGTGATTTTTTTATTGAGTTATCTAATTTATCTTATTTACAATAGTTAATTATTTTCAATTAGTTATTTATTTCTTCTTCTTCTTCTTTTGTGGTAAATTGGTTAAAATTTTTATATGGATTGATAATCTAATTATTTTTAGACTAAGGTTTTTGCACACCAATATTAAATCTTGTTGGAATTTAATTAAATGTGAATCAATTTGAAATGTAATTTTCGATCTCTTAATTTGTGGCCAAAAAAGTTTTGATAAGAATAAAACTATCATTTAATAACCAATATTTGTTTCGTGAGAAAAAATAAATAAATTTACAAATATCTGCTTCTACTTTTTAAACCTTTGATTTATTTCAATAAATTCTTCTATAAAACAGAAATATTTATCATTAATTATATCTTATTTTCCTCACTCATTACCATATTTCCTCCCCTTTTTAATTATATATCGTTATAAAATATCATTTTCCTTAAAAAAAATTCCTTGCGGTTCACTTTTTTCAATCTTTCAAGGCCACCCAATTGATTGTTTTATAGCTCAAGGCTTTAGTGCTCATGCTTGACTATTTCTTTCATATGGTTTTGGCTGATACTTGATGTCCATGGTCCCCTCTCAAACATTTTCTGTCCTTGTTGACATGGTTTTGTATCGATCCATACGCTTCATGATGGATGGTATTTCTTGGTTTTCTCCATTTGTTTCTACATTCGATGCTCAAAAAGAAAGGAAATGAAAAACCATTATTTATTCAATGAAAAATCAAGAAAAGATGGATCCATATTTTATGGTCAAGAAAAAGCATTATAACGGGAGAGATTAGAGTGGGCTTTGGTTTTTCTTAAAGAAATTAAGATAATTGTACAATCAATTAAGAGGAGAATATAAATTACTAATGGAATTTCAATGAAGCACAATAATTGGATTCGTCTTAAATTAATAATTAAGAAAAGATATACAATTTTAGATGTTATTTGGTTATTAAGAATGAAATATTCGAAACGAAATGCATGAATTAAAATAAAAATTAGATAATTGAAATAATGTTTTCATTTCTATACATTGTATAGAATAGTAATAAAAATCCAGAATAGAATTTAAAATTTTTAATACATAATTTTTTACACTAACAAGAATCATGATTAAAAAAATAATTTTATCAACTATTATGACAATGAAAATGATAAAAATGATTGCATGGTGATGGTGAAGAAAGAGAAGAAGGTGGTGCTGGTAGTAATAGATGATAATTGTATTGTAATAACAATAATATATTTTTACAAAAGAGATGGTAGTAGAAGACAAATGGTGATGGAAAAATAATAATAAAAATAAAATATTTTTTTTTAATCACCACTCGTCAATGGAGGTGGCCGGTGGTGGTAGTGGTGTCGATGATGAAAGTAGTAAAAATAGTTGATATAAAATAAACAAAAATAATATATCACTATTTTAAAGAAAAAAATATCATTCTCATTTTTTGTTTCTATTCTCAACTCTCTCCACAAAAATAAAATTATTTTTAATTTTTATTTATATTTCTATTTCATTCTTTTTAATTAAATACGTACAAAATATTCTTTATTTCTTTCAAACAAATATGTACAAACTAAAAATAAAATCTCACCATTTTATTCCTTTTTATCAAATAACACTTTAAAAACAAAACACATATGCCACTAAGTAAATCTTTTTTCATTTCTATTAAGAATATGCATGTACTTCATACTTCTTGTTGTGTATATTTGAAAGAGATAGATTGTGCATAGCTACTATAGATGTGAGAAGTAGAGGCTTATAGCAAAAAGGAAAATATATAAAGTGTAACAAACTTGTAACAATTAGGTTGGTTCATTCAAAACTAAAAACAAACTTTCCCAAATCTCTCTCTCTCTTTCTTAAGATGGTATTAGAGCAAGCAAATTTCTATTTCTCCTCTTCTATAGTTGAAATAGCTTTTATCCTCTAACTTCTTACATTTTGTTCAAGATCTAGTCTTTCTTCTTGAAAAGATTTGCTCTTCAAATCAATTTTATGACGAATCAAGTTGATTCTTCAAGTTCTTCACGAGCTATTTCATAAGACATCAATGATCCTCTATATCTTTATCATTCGGATACTTTAAATCTTATTCTTATTTCTAATTTGTTTAAAGGTAAAGAAGATTATAATTCATGGAGTAAAGTGATGATAATTTACTTGGAAGCAAAAAGCAAAGACGGATTTGTCACTGGAAAATGCTTAAAACCATGTACAAATTTGCCAAATTATACACAATAAAAGAAATGTAATGCTTTAGTTCATACTTGGCTATTGAATTTAGTTTCGTGTAATTGTTCAATGGTTTGGTTTATTATCAATTTGCTAAAGAGGTTTGAAAAGTTCTAAAAAAAAGATTTGACAATCAACATGAAGCTAAGATTTTTGCTTTGCACAAAGAAATTCATTTATTAGTTTAAGGTGCTAATAGTGTAGTAGTGTATTACTCGAAGATAAGAAATCTATGGGATCAATATGACTTTTTGATTCCTACACTTACTTGTATTTGTCCAAGCTACAAGAGTGTAGCTTCACAACCGTTTGTTGAATACACACAACAATACAAAATGATGCAATTCCTAATAAGTTTGAATGATCATTTTCAGCTTGTAAGATCACAAAGTTTGCTAATGAATCCCCTGTCTACACATTCATAAGCACTCTTCGTGGTTTCTAATGAAGAACAACAACGGGGAATTAATTCACATCAAGAAGTATCCGTTGCTTTTCATTTTGTCAAAACTCAATATCAAATGAAATAGTTCTCCGATAAAGAAAATTGGCATAAGGATGTTATCTCGTGATTACTCGTTACATTTCGGGCATACCAAAGATGCTTGCTACAAGCTACATGGAAATCCAAGTCCAAAAAAGAGGGCATTTGGGAACAATAGAGGAAGAAGAAATAAAAGCATTGCTAATGGAGATACACAATGTTTTTATAATACAAATCATGCTAACTATATGAGACATGATGCTCGTGCATTTTGACAATCATGTAGAGGCATAATGAACAATATAAGAGATCAAAATTCTATGATGCAAACAACAAACATGACGAGTTGCACATTCTATTTTTTTTTTTAATAGTGTCATAAAATTTTGAAATTACTCGGAAAAAAAGTATAACTTCGGGGAAGAATGTTCAAAAGGATGAACTAGTTACAAACATGATAGGTAAATACTTTCATGGTTATATCGATATGGAATCCATTGATGATGAAAGGATAATGGACACGAGTGTTAATATTCACATGACTTGAAAATTCAACCTATTGGGTAATCCTATGAAACTAACATTTGGTTTCACTATTAGATTACCTAATGACAATAGAACTCTAGTTACTCACATAGGTTTAGTTACTCTTCTACAAATGATTCTTCATGATGTCTTGTATTTACTAGATTTCAAATTCAATTTGTTGTCGGTAGCTCGCTTCACTATTGACAACAAATGCTTAACATCCTTTTACCCACACTTTTGTCTTTTTCAAGACCTCAAGATCGGGAAGACAAAGAGGATTGG